GACAGGAAAAAGGGGCCTTTTGTCTTACTTGTTATAGCTTTCATATGAGCAAAAATATCGTTCCACATATGGGAATTGGCCATGCTTCCCGTAGATCGTTTTGGCGATGTATAACGACAACAATTCCCTTTGATAGCCTGCAATGGTACCTCGCTTTTCGGTTTACATCCCATGCATGAAACAATCTAATTTCGAACCATCCAAACAAATATGTACGTGCGTATCAACAAAGATATACAGTATACATACATACACACAAAATCTTTGGCAGGCCTTGAAATTACCTGGTAAGACGTATGAAAAGTTTTTGTACTCAGTATTGTTATGAAGCTGATTGCTTGAAAAAAACAAAACAATAATGATAACTTAAAATGTATTACCGTTGTATAGCTGCGGGTCGGTGTGTACGATTATATGTGTAACCTGTCTACTACCGCTTCATGGAACTGCAATAATATTTGGTTTTGTTTGTTTTTTTTTTTGAAAATTACAAGCAATTAGCTTTACGACAATACTTGAATTATATCGTACAGAAATTTTCGAATAAAAATTATTTTCAAACAAAGCTTATTATATATATTAGCTTGTGTATCTCTCAATTACAATAAGTAGAATAATCGCGTCTGCAGCTGCTGCACGGGAACTGTTCTCGCCGTAGCTAGCCGCCGTTGCCGTAGTGTAGCAATATCAGTAGCCATTGCCTCAAGTCCGACCTTTAATGACTCTTATTGTGGTAATATTCCGTTTTGATTTTTTCTTCTTCAAGCAAGTACTGTTAATACAGCATATCAGCACACTAAACAGATGTAGTTTTACAGAAAAGATTATACTCTGTTACACAGCCTTTTGCTTAATCAGATTTTGTCTTTTTAGATGCAATTCTAATATTGTATTTCGTAAATGTCCAATTATGTTTCAATCAACTGTTGCTATACTACATAGACAGCATACATTTACGCGTCTTTTTTAAGATGCATTAACCTCACAATAATAAATAGTTATATGGCGGTGCAAAAAATTTGATTACCAGTTTGTGATAAATTAACATGTAGGAACAATTCAAATCACGTAAAATTTTGACGTCCCATGGCCGTCAATTATTCTTAGTCAACTTTTTCAAATACTCATTTACTATTCCCTTTGTTTTTTTTTGGCTTTGATGATTGAGAAGTTAGTATGCCTAGTTAAATAAACTTTTACTTATCCGCAACTTTTTTTCAACTATTGCCAACTTCTAATACTGATGTAAAATTGTTCAAGTAGAGCACGTTTTATATATGAGCGGGCTATTTCGAATAAAGCCATAAAGTCTGCAAGGTACAATTACCCTCTTTATTCGAAAATAGTTTGTTTTTATTTTATCGCACTTGCTGGATAAATTACCATTATTGTCATAGATATTTGACAAAATTAGAAACTTTTTTGAATGTCAGAAAATGTCAGCAAACTGCCTTTAACACAAGTTTAAAATCACATTGGATGAAACTGGCAACGTGCCAGATTATTCTCATATCTGGACACATTTAGTGTTTAAATCAAATAGAAGTTACCTACAAAGGTAAATCTTGTTGTTACAATAGATAATGGGCCAGCAGCATATTAGATTATTTGTAGATTTTCTATTACCAGACAAATTTAATTTCAAAGTTAAGCTACTAATTAGCTTATTGCTTGCACTAAACAAGTTGATAATATTAGAATGTTGGCATTTTAGTTCTGTTTAAACCTGTAGGTATCATGGCTCAAAAGATAGCTAATGAGTTATACCATAAATTTAAATTGTTAAGAAAAAGCTGATATGCTTTATCAGAAGGTCATCAATGTTAACATTAGTCAAAAATAGCAAGAATATTTACAACAACATTATCTTCAGCAATCAATTTAAAGATATTGCTTGTCCAAGCTCGTTAGTAAATAGGGATGCATAAAAATTTAATTAAAAGTAAGTTGTAGTCAGGATAAGGTATTGTTAATATGTACTGCTTGACCAAGAGAAAGTGCTGACAGTGACCATAAAATTTCCATTGCGTTATGAAATGCAATTTTTTGTGTCGTTGACTCGCAATCTTAGTGTCAATAGATTTTGAACTTACGTAATCAATATTTAAATGATTGACATAAATAATACTTATAGGGAGTGCATATGGTTATATCTCCACGTTCGAACTTAACGTCCTTTTTCTTGGCATGCCATTCATTATACGAGTTATTTTAGTACCCATAATTTATTGCTTTCGTACATATAAAAAATCGTAATACTTATTATTCGAATCTTAACCGGAAAAGTTAATTGAAGCGAACCGCAAGCCTATTAATTTCATCGACTTATTATTCAATAGATAATTCGATCAGTAGAATGTTCCATTGACTCTATATTTGTAGATTCCGAGTAATTTGCCCATTTAAGGACAACGTTAGGCTGTAGCTGTCACGCTGCTGTCAATGTAAAAGATGGACATGCGATTATGATAAATGATTGTGTAAGACTTTATTTCTGAGTTACATTTACATGCTAAAGCTAATTTAATGTTATCTACCTCGATATACAAGGGGTGAAATAAAGAATATGGTTTATGGTTTTAGGAAGGAAAGGGGGTTTATTATTCTACATATGTATGGCCAGGATGCTAACGACATTTGTATGGCCAGGACGCTAACGACATTTTCGGGAGACATTAAATCAACTAACCAGTTTGTATAAATCGTTCCTAGAGTACCGACATACTAACAGGTATAAACAGGCATTGGTAATTTGCATCTTTGTTTACTGGCATCACTTACAAATGAATGCCGAAATTGCTCGATTATGGATATTGAGTGAAAAAGTCACATTCCACTTGACATTTTTTCGTTCTCTATTTCATTCCTATTGGCGTGCTTTATTCAGATAGCGTATTTCCTAAATTTGCATATTCATCCGTGACGGTGGTAAAAAGTAATTGTTCCAGGCGGTGATTACCATTTATACGCCAGGTACTATAACAAGTGTACCTACCATTTTTGTACATTCCTATGATTCCAATCATTTAAGAACTCATTGTAACTGTGATCAACAAGTTGTCTGTGGTTAGTTAGAATACTAATTCCATGTGTATAGTCATCAAAGTTATGACCGTGTAACAATTCGGTTGCGGAAAAAAGTTTATTATTATCACAAATACCTATCGTTAAGGCCTCTTTAACTTTTATGTTAGATAAGAGCACTTTACAAACATGGTATTATTAATTTCGAGTCTATTGTTATGTGGACAGTGGCCAAACATATCGATTGTGTCATGTTGTATGGTTCCAAAATGCCTATATTGTAGATCTTCCGAGTCCACAGATCGAGATCGTAGAAAGAATTCTAGAAAAAAGAGATAATTTAATGCTCGAGCCAAAGTAGGTCCCAGGCTGTATATCATGATGTCTTAACTTCCAGCTATAAATGACTATATTCTGAATGGACCACGCTATCCATTGAGAATAACATTGGTCTTCCCATACATGTTTAATACCTATCAACGTAATTGACTCACTGGTTTGATGTATCGTAATTAAGAGATGTAACACAGACGTAAGATAGATTACCTAATAAATATAATAGTGTTTAAAACACTATTAATATTTGCACGTTCGATAACAAAAATTGTCACACACCAAAAATTTCTACCCCTTAGTGATTATAAAATATTTAATTCCGTAAGATGAAATTTATTCTTAGAATATATCAGCCACGGGAAATTTATCTTATTATTTTTTGAAAGTTTTTTATAGTGATCATCTTTGGTATATATAAACGTATTCTTTTCTTCATAGTTTTTTGGTGCAATGTATGAACCAATAAGGCCATTCTGTTAGTACGACAAAGTGAAGGGCCAACCGGAGTCTATCTACAGAACGATTGTAAAAGGAAATGGGAGTTTTTGTACCTAGTATCTTCATTACCAGAACGTTGGTAATCGTGAGGTATTCAAGAATATATACGATCCCTTGACAAACAAGAAAAATTGCATCAGCCCACGGGTGGGCGAAAAGCAAGGTCAAGCCCATTGAGAAACCAACGAAAACAATCATTCTCAGGATATGCATGCTAATGTGAGAATGTTACTTCATTTGTTTATCTCCATTAGCCTTAGATTCCAAATATACATCACAAGAAGGGTATACATAAATAACACTTTCTTCCGCAGCTTCATATTGTGTTGCTTCTTTATTTGAGATTACTTTGTGTTCATTTATGCCAAAGGTAATAAATATATAGTTTATTTTATATTTCACTATTGAGTACCGTATAACAAACATATTGTGTAACAATATTACATTCTTATATATAGGCAGCACTACACCGTTTGCGTATTTGCAAGGTTTGATTCTGCCGAATCATATTTGGTAAGTCTATCATAACCTTCTTCTAAAGACCATCACACAATAATGAGCAGAATACACTCATGCACACACACACACACACACACACATATGCATGTATATATATAAATATACGATAAATTTAGAATACAAGTGCTATTAATATATCATAAAGTTGTTATGTTAAATGCATAATATTGGTTTAATCTGTGATTATTTGAGCTATCGCCGTCATCAGTCACTAACAATCCATGTGTTATCTATAATACTTGATCTTTCCTACAATCCATTTCACCCAACGGCTAGAATCACACCCTCTCCTATCTCGTTGGACTAGATAAAGGCATGGATCATTCAATACATTTACTCTATACTCTCTATAGATGCGAGTATTATAAAAACTCTCACATATCCTTTAAAATTAATCACATCTTTTTTTTTAGCAGCACGCGTACCCTCTAGCAAGATCTAACATGGTTATCTTTCTTCTTACTCATAAATTCCAGGCGCTGTTCGGAGGAAACTTTTATTAAGCGTGTGACAACCAACTCCAAATCCTTCTTTACACTCATTCGTATCAAGAAATAGACTGTTCGCAACAGCTCTTTCTTGCTTTCTTCTTGCTTTCTTTCTTTCTTTGCTATGCTGTAAATATGAGTTCAGCCTACGCGTATCCAGGTTATACAAATATGCCAGCTCCGTCAGAAAATGTAATTCCGCAACAACCGCCAAGAGTGTGAGTATAAAGTTTTACAGTTTTTATGTAAGTTTCTGTAGAACGCGCTACTATCGACGTTAAGAGTGTTCGATATGTGTCAATTGGCTTTGTACAGTAAACCTCTTGAATCAAGAACAAAAAATTTTAATGGCTGATCTGTGGTTAACCAATGACTGAGCACATTGCGAGTAATTAAGTTTAATTATTATAATTAACATTGAACTAACGATATATATGTATATGTATATATTGCTTCATTACAGTTACCGACTCGAAGTATCGCAACAGCCAATAAGGGCGAGAATGTGTGGGTTTGGTGAAAAAGACCGACGCCCAATAGATCCTCCTCCCGTAGTACGTCTTATCATGACTACACCCGATGGCAAACCAATTCCCGAGAGGTAATTATGAAAACTTTTATCACACATTTTCTTTTCCCCTTTTTCATATCCCCCCTTCTTACTAATGCGACGATCCCATATCACAAATTAAAAAAAAAAAAAAAAACAAAGTTCCGTCGATCCCTCAATGTTCGTTGTTCACGCGGGATTGTGGTCCAATAACCGCAAGGAAGAACGTAGCCTTGTAATTAACCCATCTTCTATACCAACCCAGTCGACAGGACCTTCCTCTACCGTTATGTCTTTGAATGGGCCGACGTGTACTCGTAATCTCATGGGATCGTTGACTTCATCTGCATACACTCTGACAAATCAGCATGGTCAACAAGGAATTTATTTCGTATTTCAAGATCTTTCCGTAAGAACCGAGGGCACCTTTACCCTCAAATTTCAATTTGCCGATATTAGTCAGTTGGTTAAACGGTACGAAAAATCTTTACATCCCAATATTTTTTATGATCGTTGCTTATCCCCATAATACTGATCTATCTGATGATCAGTGGAGGACCCCAAAGTCAGGTACGTGTCGAAGCTGAGGTGTATAGCGAATCCTTTACTGTCTATTCTGCAAAGAAATTTCCTGGCATGACAGGTAATCACTCAGTTTGTGCATTTCTATTTTTGGCCTCTACATTAGCAATAATTATTAAATGTTGATATCTCAAATTTCAACTCTACCATTTTAATAATTACTCTAGAGTCAACTGAACTCTCAAAAGCTTTTGCCAAACAAGGAATAAAAATTCCTATTCGTAAAGAAACTCGGTATCGTAGACCTCATGATGATGTTCGCCGGATTTTGGAGGGCCCAAACCCGGGAATCACATCACTCCCTGCATCTGGGGATCACGATATCGACAAGTCAGATAATGGCGAAGACAAAGGTCCGGAATACGAAAGTGAGAACGATGACGATGTTGATGATAATAGATCTTCAACTAAGCACAGAACGAATTGAAAGATAAAAACTATGTCACGAACAACATTTAAGGTTGACATGTATATAACGAGCAAAGAAAAAAAAAAACACGCGCAAACAAAAAAAAAGACAAACATTCTCTTTCGTTACTCGATCAATTGTTATCGTTGTCGTTATTCCAAGTAAGGTATGACAATATCAACTAACAACTACTGTAAAAGATATAAGACTAAGTTGGATTTTGTACAAGTCTCGTTTGGTGATATCTTTCTTGATACTAATATGCCATATTCACCATTTAGACTTTGAACTTAAAATATACAGCTGTATTACTCCTGCACTCTCGCAATATGTTGTTAGAAAAAAAAGTCTCTGGTGTCAAGTGAAGTTACTCAGATTTTGTTTATGATTTAAACCTTCCTGCAGCGATATGAAACAGTTTTTACAGTTAACAACATACAGATCTTATGAGGGGAAAAGAGCTTAGGATATTTTGACTGGAAACAAATTTGTTGCTTTATGTAAATATGATTGTTATGAATAAATCTTTAAGATAAGTGGTTGTTCAGCCTTACCTGAGAGTTGGAATGTGATGTTATTAGCTAAATAAGAAAGTCGGTCAATATGTAAAGCGTTCTGGAAAGCTTTTGCTTTCAAAGATGGGTCAGCAATTGGATCCAAATGTTGGTTATGTTTATCGCACATACATGTAAATGATTGCATCTCACTGTTGAGTTTATTAGCTGCACGATTCAACGCAGCAACAAATCATTGCGAGTTATAAGCAAAGCTTCGGTATACCAAATACACTTGAAATCTCCTATATTGATTAGTTTTGTGAGTGTCGTCTCCTATGTTCTTGTCATTTTGGGTAGATTTTCGCGCTTGACGTACCGCCGAGAACATCATTACCATATTTGATATAGATCATCAACATTATCCCGAATATACTGAAATGGGCACTCCTGATTTAATTAATTAGTTAACAAATATTTCCAAAACAGACTAAATTAAGCTGAACGACACAACAATATAACGAGAATAAAGATACTATAACAATACATTAGCTAAGCAATTGGCAAACCTGTTTGGATTAATAATGGTATTTATGATTTGTAATATCAATAAATAATTAACAATGATTACAAAACAAAAATAGATAAATTAAGTTTATGGAGACCCGACGTTTTAAGCGCGCTAGTAAAATTCAAGGTCGATGGGAGACTCAACCTAGTGAATTTGTTGATTTTACTTACTACAAAAATACTGCGTAAAGCTGCACCTCAAAATCATAATCGGATTTGCTTATTGTCACCAACATCGTTAACTGCTGGTGCTGCTGCTGCCGCTGTCGTCGATCAGTATACTCATTTAGCTACGTATTGCATAATTTTCATAGGTGGACGTTTCATCTAGATTAATTGACAATCGGTAACGCATGTTAATAATATTTCGCGTACAGAGACCCCGAATATTACTAGTGAATTGGATAACACACTAGAATCATTCAAACAAAGATATACGAGACTTATCAGTAAATTAACGAAGAAGGTAGTTTTTACTATCAACAATAGCATATTCGGTATGATTATTGGTATGATAATCTTGATATAGAAAATATAAATTTAGCACTAGCTTGGCGTTTTATCTATTATGAATATTCTTAATTACAAATAGAAGACAAACAAAGAAATCGATAGATGGATAAATCTATTCATATATATTCATACACTGTGCATTGTGTTTGGTTTAAAAATAATAATATTTATTAAACAAATATTGTGATTAATAAATAATGGTACTTGTGACTGTTCGAACTGCTCATGTGATGTGACATCACCCGACGTACCACCGTTCAAGACAACACAAATGAATTTCGAGCATGTATTATCTAATAGAAGCAAAATAATATTAAGCATATTATAGTATAATATTACAGTTGTTTATGATATGATAACATTGTCTCTATTCTCCAATTATAATTTATTCAATTTTTAAATGCAATACTTTCTAAAACAATTAGTATCTTCCCCCAAAAGCTGAAACAAATACAAAGAACTTATGCTGGTAATCAGTAGCACACAACATAAATTAACGCCAACAGCATGATAAGCACATACTTAACCCCTATTTGCAGCATTTTCAATTATCCCCGCATCCGATGTCCCAATCACTTAGGCGCTGTTTAAGATTGTTATTATTATTAAACGTAATAACTGTAATTATTTGCATAAGAATGTTAACATCTTTAACGCGACACAAATCTCCTGGTACTTGTTCATTCACAGTAAGTCCCCATTACTTTCATATTTCGGAGCAACGCATTTAACATTATTAAACAAGGAATGCAAAACCGTATGATTGGTTGGAATCGCGGACACAGAAGCGTATAGCAATGGGACTGTTACACAGCGTGTTTTTTTCTTACAACATGTTAACCCCTTACCAGCCACACCTATCCCAGCAGAGGCTTTTAAATACGTGTAACGATGCTGACTACCATTTATGTCAAAAAACGTTTGGGCATCAGGTAAGGTAACACAATGTTTATGGACAATTACTTGGAACATGGCTCCGGGCGAAGTTTAATCCAGAGATTGTTTTACTATTGTGTGTGTGATGTGTAACAACAAAAAATCCAGAAGACTCTCGTTCAAAAAGACGAAAGTAACATTTACATGTTTATACTGAAACTTTTGCTCTCCTAGACCAAAAAATTCATAGACTTGAAATTTAAAAGCCGAGTCTTTGTGGGAATACTATATAAGCGGTTACGAACCACCGTAAATAGTATATCTTGCCAACGTTTTTTTCTCCATGACGTAATTGGTATTGCGCATGCATCAAGAGAGCTTACGTAAAATTACAAGGTTTCGCCGGCAAAAGGATTTATTCTGTGTTTCTGTAACTGCTAAACTTGTTATACGACTAACGAGTGTACACCATTCTTCAGTAACCTAAAATCAACAATAGGCTTGGAAATCAAGTTAACTGACAAGAAAAGCCATATAAAATTATATCAATGCGTTTATACAAGGAGGGTAACTAGGGATCATCACTTGAGTGACTAACCTGAGATAAGCGATGCATACTTAAAATTTGCGGATAGAATGGATCAAACGTTGAATTAAGGATAAATTCATTTATAAAATGATAAAAGCCTACGATTAATTACGCAATTTGGCTCAAGTCAATTTACTTACAATTGACCAGAAAACTTGCCCCGCTTAGCTATCATGAAATCATTTCAACATCTCCTGGCTTAGTAGCGGTTTTATCGAATTTCCCAATCGAATATAAGTTGTTTCGGCCATATAAAACGGGGATTTAGAGGGCTAGAATATAACTTACATTAGTTGAATACAACTTAATTTTAACATATTTTCTTTGGTGACATCTTTTTCACTTTTAGTCTTTTGCGTTGATTTTGGAATTCTTCCTTATCAAACATTACCAGCGTTATCTCTTTATTCGTACACATAAAGTATTTGACCAGGAAGTTGATCTCCCCACATGACTGAAGACAATTTCATGTTCTAGTGTCGATCTAGAAGTCTTAATACACATGTAATAGCGAGACCACATTTTATAGATTGCTGCTACATTATTGTCAAAATAATTCCTGGTTGATATCTACCTTTTTCGTCCATGTGATAGCTTTTGAAAAAGGAAGAAAAAAAAGAGCGCTAATTTTCTCAAGAGTTCTGTGCTAAATAAATTACAGAATTCCGCCACACCAACTCGCGAAAATGAAGTCTTTGACAAAACCTGTAGGAGAGAGAGATCAAAGACGATTTAATTGCTCTCAATAACTAAGTAATAGCCTCAAATAAGGCTTCTGACCTAAAGACAAACAATTTGTCTGGAAGAAGTAAAATCAGCAAGTTTGAATTTTTAATTAATCAGAATTAACCCATAGTGCCAAATTTCGCGCCGGTTCTAAATTAATACAACATGCATGAATTTGAGAACCAAATATAAAATAAGTTGGAACTCTTGTCTGTGAGCAGAAAGTCGCTGGCAGGTCCATCTGAAATTATGCTCGATTTAAGTCGCCATATCACTTTGTTTAACAAAATTTTTCATCCGTACGTTGTGAATATACAGCTCTGTTAATAACTTAGAACGCTTGAAAACTTGTTACAAACCCAGAAACATTCATGCAGCAATCAATTCTGCCATTAAAGAAAACTAAAGTACTAACTAACCTACTTTCAAATGTGGGAGCAAGCCCAATCGTATACACACATCCGCATCAATAATACAATGCATAGCAACCCCAAAACACTCGGCCCAAAGCGTTGATGTGTAATAAATATTAACAAATTTGACATGACCTGTCTACCAACTACAGCCAAATAACAGAATGTCAAATTTTAATGGTGGTTGATTCATATTCGGTCACCATTTCATAATTTCTATATTATCGCTATATTAAAGATTACATTTGCGAGATAAACTTTTACTTAATGAGGTCACATTAGGCAAGACTGCAAAGAAGTAACGTGTTTAGCATAAACTGTTACTTTGATGTCTACACAAAATGCATTAATATACAGTAGTTCTTTTAATAAGAATATAGCACACTCCTGATGAGAAATATTGTAAAATCAAAATTCGTAAAGCTTTCTTATCATCTAATGCAAGAGATTATGTGAAACTTAATTATGAAGAGTAATATAATAGTCTATAGCATCAGTAAAGGAGACTTTCAGCTTTAGAATTCTGCATGCGAAAGTCATGTCAAAGTCAGCAGACAGTTCCTTTCTAATTTAACTAATTGATTGATAGATAAATTTTCTATACAATTAAATATTTTATTTTCATATATTCTTAGTTTGGCGAGCAAGAATTTTCCTCGAAACAGGTAATGAATAGGCTATAATTTCAAATAATGCGTAGATATTAATTAATATTGTTCCTCGGCAGCTCATTTCCCCGACAATCAATGTTTCCCCGAAAATTATTCATTTTCAAAGTTTATCTTTTGTCGATAGTTGAAACAAAGCTGGTGGACAGATTTAGGCGTTTTGACAAGCACTAACAGATCAAGCTTTCACAGATGCATTACAGTTTGATAAACTTTTGAGTTATCATAAATAATACCACGACGAACGATCTCTGATAAAATAACTGATGTCGAAATATTTTGTCGGGAAATGAGCTGTCGGGGGAGCTGTCGGTGAGTATCTTTAATATTTTTAATTATTTTACTATCTTTTAGAAAACTTAATAAAATAAAAGAATTAGATGCTTGTGATTGCCTTGACTTAAAAAGTCCCAATATCACTTTCTCAACTGCCGTCTGTTACGTAGAAGAATCTTTGAGTGCAGTCGGCCGATTGCTTCTTTAGGATTTGTGTAAACTCTCCCCAATACAGTAGAAAAAGTATTTGTCTAGATAGTCCTTTTCTGCGATACTTATTCTTTTTACAATTTATTAATTCCAACTACAATTGAATCAAAATCAGAACTTTCACACCCTCTCCTTAATAATTCTACATTATTCTATTTTTCCATATGAAAGTCTTAAATGTTGTCAATCAAAAAGAGGAATAAAACAACTAATAACAATAAATAAATAATTGTGTATAATACTAATACATTTACAGAAGGGCCATGTAATCCTCCATCTGTTCTTCTCAACAATTCACTTTTCTACCAAGGCAACGACTCTTTTCTCTTCACCAGATTAGAATCATCGGGAGACAGGCTATCTATAGAACCAGCAGACTTGATTCCGTTGTCAGCAGATTCATTACTAGGCCTAGGAAATGTTGCTGATCTTGTGGTGATGGGGAAATTCTCAATGCCGTAAACAGAGTCGACCGTAACACGCAGATTTCGTTTACGTGTAATTTTGGCTTCTTCAAAGTATTTGTGAACACATTCTGTGCCCCATTTTGAGATTGAGTAAGATGGGAATAATGAGCATAATGGAGATCAAGAAACAACATGTATAAATATTCTGTGCGCATTGTGTAATGTATGTACCTTGTAAGAATGTCTCCAGCTCTCGTGAAAACGAATAATCTAGAGCTGTCCATCCTGCTGCATTCTTGACATTATACTGTATACCACTTTCAATTAAAAACTTGACCACCTAAATGTTATATTGAATATACAAGATTATATCAAGATTTCTTGGTAAATAAATTGAAAATTGTTCATGGCAAGTGATTACCTGAAAGCGATCCCATGCAGCAGCACTACAAATAGACAATATATTTAGCATATAATATCTTCACATATACAGTAACAGATCGTGATGAATACATACAAGGCAAATAGATTTTACTCACTAGTGCAACGCCGTATTTCCGTCATGATCAGTTTGATTAATATCTGCTCCGCTTCCAAGAAGGAACTACCAATAGCACAATACCAATAGCACGTCAATTGTTAGAAGGTGTAAATCCAAAGACAAGCATGTGTCTAGTACTTACTTTGATTATCTCGATATGACCTTCTTTACATGCCAATATCAACGCCGTTTGTCCCTTCTTATTTGCCATATCCACGCTGTCTGGGAATACCGTGACAAATAATTTTACAATCTAACATCGAGTAGAAGAATGAGCTGTGGTGGTATGCGAGTATTTCAGTAATCAACTTTATAAATACCTCCAAGTAATCATATTGCGCAGCAATGATAAGGGTTGTGTTATTCTCGAAATCCTATTCAATAACCAAATTCGAAAATAACATAATCGCTATTATTAGTTTGGGTTTCTTTAAAAAACGGCAACCCATTTGTGCTGAAATCACCATGTCTCCGCTAGTACCTACTCTGGATATTTCGTAGTCTTCGTGACCGTTCTGCAGTAAATATTCTACGGTAGCCGTATGGCCATACCTGGTGGCGTACATCAATGTAGTCCTATCGAAACCAAGCGTGAATAATATAAACTCATGTCTGATATGCTTTTTATTCCGCTAGTCCATACCATCCATTCTCTGAATCAGGATTCTGTAAATTAGTCTTGGTACTAAGTCGCTTGATGAGTTGTAGATTACCCTCACAGGCAGCCCTTCGAAGACGGCGGCGGGGATCTTCCAGTGGCATATGATAGAATACTAATAATAATAATAATAGAGAATATACTGGGCATGTTGCAACAAACAAAACCTGACAAAGTGAATGAACATTGACGTCACTAGGAATTGGTAGTATACTAGAATTGCAGGGGTTATTATTTAAAACCCAACGGGAAATTTGACCGCAATCTGTCACAAACACGTGCTGCAAACAAAGTGAAGGGGAGGAAGCAAAAGTGTGGGAGGTATTCGCGATGTCGCGTAGCAAAGATCGGATCAATGGCAAAACCTATTCTTAGCATAAACGTTTAAGCCTTTTCCAAAAACCAGCCAAGGAATAGCAAGGCATATAACAACCCTCTTATTCCTCTATTTGGATCTTAAAGGGTTCGGTCAATGTTCGCAAGAGGCTTCTCCTCTCATAAGTTATCTTTCTTTGGTCCGTGTCTTTCAGTTTGATAATGTAAGGAGCAGAATTTTTTTGGTAGATTTAATGTAATTTATTTTTACGAAGGAAAAATTTGTCTTTGTCAATTTGGAGTAAAACAACAGCTGAGCACGTATCAGCTATATTAGTCCACATCAGCCATTTTGAATTCACATGATCCAATTCTGAAAATATTTTTGGGCGTTAAAAGTACTGATTCAGCACATACAATAGTAATAGTCTGCTAATATTTGTTCCGTCGGAGTATAGTTGGCCCAACGCATATAATTAGTTCCTTGTAACCTGATTTAATAAGACAATGTGAACAATGTGTTTGCGATCAAATATTCTTCTATATTAAACCCTCTAACTATTTTTGTTTATCTGGCTTGCTATTTGTGATGATCACGTATATAAGCTTTAGAATAAGCTTAACCATCTGTTGACTTCTTATTTGTTATTAGACCAAATATTAATAGCTATTAGAATTATAGTAATATAATTACTACATATGTTATCCACGAAATTTGAACCACTTCGGGCTTTCCTTCCCTCCTCCGATATCAGCAAAATCTCCTTAATTTTAACCCAGGGATACGTTGATTAAGCCGGAGTTCCGACTTTTCGAAAGTAATAGTCAAATCGAACTATTCTTTCCAGCATGCCTTGCTGTTAGAATTGGCTCCAACTCTCTAAGATGGCTTAAACGCGACTAGCTTCCTTCTAAGCAACAAATCGCTCCCGTTCAGCACTGACAACTATTAGAACAAGAACTAACTATTAGGATGATGTCTAATTGAACTTGCCTTCGAAGAATTTTGAACCGCTCCTTTGTCTCAATATACTTGAACAATAAGTCATTGCTGATTTTAATATTTTTGCGATAATCACACCTCTGAAGATTGAACTATTATAAGCGTAGCACACTTTCTGAGATCTGTCACAACCTCGTGAGTCGTGAGTGGCGGTCGTTTTTGCGTCGGTGTTTTTTGGAGCCAAGGAGTAGTAGTAACCAGTGTTGAAAAAAATTGCCAAAAGTGAAATCTACGAGTGGTAAGGAACTAATTATTAGCGAACGATCTTGGAAAACATGGACTATAATAAGATTTTTCGTAAGTCGCTTTTAATCGAATCTTGGCGTGTATATTTTCTGAATAATTATAATATTTTTAATCTTCGACTGAACAGTTTTTTATTATTCCGAGTAATTCAAAGTTTTAATTAGTATTTTCTTGGTAAATTATAAAATAATAAATATTTTCCTAACATAATATTTTTTGCTGCCTTCAGTTTAAACATTTTTATTTCACCTGGTTTCTCTGTATTTTGGCATCTTCAACTATGCTATCCTTTGAGTATTCTAGTATTAATTTAGACAACATTCTTCAAACATTATAATTAATTACGTGTTTTGCTTTCGGAAAGATTGTTGATATAGCGTTACTCTTATTCGTTCACCCAACTGATTTTCACCTTTTTATTTTATGCCAAGTATGTTCTTGGAAACTTTTCCTATAATTTGGCCTTACATAATTAACTTATTTGCTTGAATACCAATAAAAACACTTGCGGGGATGATCTGACTTATCTGTTGGTAGGAATGCGGAATGCGGAATGCGGAATGCGGAATGCGGAATGCGGAATGCGGAATGCGGAATGCGGAATGCAGAATGCGGAAATTATGTCCATTCGTAAAATAATCTCTACTGCTTGTCATAATTGCCCATGCTCTTCTGCAAGTTTTGTAATGGTTTCTCTATAACTTAAGCTTAGCCGATACTTTTTTGTGAACATTTCTGCAGCATTGCAAACCGTTGGTAAGCGTTGTCTAACTTCATAATGCGCTTTCTTTTCAAGACCTGCAATAAAGTCTCGATGAATGGATTTACAGTATAACTTATTCTGCTGGTTACAATGGAGGTAATGAAATTGACGTGTTTACTAGTACTTGGTAATCCGCATAATCCAGGCAACGTCTTTAGCGATCGTTATCACGGTTTTTCGTCGCAGTTCTCTTGTTACAAAGATCACAACACTTGGAAATTCATAAAAATAAATACGCGTTCTGGAATGAGATCCCAATAATAAACCGCTCTGCAATCTTTCAATCTTCACGGTCTCAGAATTGAATAAAGAGAAGTATACATATAAACATATTACTGATTAGTATTTCGCTTTATTGTTAATTCTCATTTTCGCGTTATATAAAGTCAACTTGATAATAAACTAACAAAAGAAATGACCATGTTATGGTATGCGGTCAATAATAAGAAGAATCAAGCAGGAAAGTATCTAAATTCGCGCACAAAAATCATAAATCCGACGATTAAAAAAAGTGTTGTTTCTTCAAAGTTAAACAAACGCTCTATCAGTTTCTAACGTTACTGACGTGCATGCACGATGATCAAATGACCAAGACATACAACACACGCGTATTCATTAAACTTTTGTACAAAGATTTACTAATAATTAACATATTCTACATAATCGATTTGTTATCGGATGGAGGTTGAACCAAAACCACATTTTGTGTTGATAGTTCTCGCTTAAACTGGCATAGGTTCTGTGTAAACCTGTCTCTATTTTTCGACGTGAGATTCCATTCAAAGTCTTCCATCAGTGCTGTCAGTGCCTAGAGAGAAAAAAAAAGTAAAATTCAGTCTTTTCCCGATGTTATTAATACAAGATATACTGAACATGTTAATCACAATCACCTTTGTTAGGGTTTCTCGCCTCTCCGGTAATTGCAGCTGTAGTATAAGCTTCGTGTACTCGAAGAAGTACTAACAAGGAAAATCGGGTAGAAGATGATAAGAATGTAAACATTCCCGGAAAACCAATAAATTATAAATACATACCTCTCTGTTCAATAGTATTAACCCTAGCAAAGGTCTTGACAACGACCATTGGTTTTGACGGTCTTCGAACAGAACCATCCCGAAATTGGCTGCTAGCATAAAGGGCAGTATGTGGGGATATTGTGATAAATATACTAGCAGCCAATGTTGCTTGGGCTTCTGTTTAGCCATTTGTTGCACGACAAACGTGCAAATATTATCTACAGCAATACACGCTGCGGAATTCGCCACATTATGTATAACATCGAAGAAGAGTCAAGGAACGGTTGAATGTAAATTTCGAACTGTCACAGCGTCAAATATAATCAAAAAGGATATCTAATGTCTGAAGTCCCTCTGTCAATGCTCTCATTATATACAGAAACACGTTCGAGTTTAGTTCTCGAAGTGTTGTCATATGTTCATTCGTGAACATTTCCATTAATTGGAAAAATGCTCTGCACAATTTCGGGTATTCCTGCAAAAAAAAAAAAAAGAGATTACAACGGAAATTTGTAGTAAGGAATTTGTAACAAATATATAGACATGTGTACCATTAAGTCCTCGAACGGTATGCTTAGTATCAACTCAAACATTGTTGACAAGGCGACCTCAAGTGCTTTATCACCATACAGCTCGAAAACTCCAAAATTTACATAACGCCCACCAAAGCATCTTGTGAGCATTAGGAAACACACTGTTATGCCTTTGTATCTACAAGAAATAATAATGGTCATAATATTTGAGTAATGATAGCTTTAGAAAAATTCTGAATACTAAGTAAATAAATACTGACTTGTCGGCATATTTATCCGAGCCTAGCGATGGTCTTGCCAGGGTCTGTCGACCTTATTCGTTAACGAAGACATCATAATTAGGCATCATATTCATTCACAATATCATATCCTTAGCTGAATGCTTACCATACGCATTTATGACTTTACTATAAAGTTCAGCAAGCGAATAAAATTAGGAACCGTGTTTTGCATTAAAAACTTGACGTCTTATCCAACGTACCTCGCTTCCCTAAATATTAGAATACCGTTCGGTGAGGAAACCTCGAAATTCAGTCTTTGTGCTTTGTTGTTGACGAACTCTAGATAAAATTTGAGTATGCCAATGGCCAAGCGGTCATCAGCCCAGGCTTCCAATGCATGTAGCATTACTTCGGAATGATTGGGATAAAACCAATCGAAGAATAACGTGAATTGCTTGCGTCCTTGCAATGCAGACAGGAAACCACGCAAATCATATAGTACGCCCATCAGAGTATCCTGAGTATGTGATCAAACCAGTCAATGAGTCGACGGACAATTTATCATTAGGACTCGCATAAAAACTAAACTTTGTCCAAAATTACCTTCACCACAGGTTGTCTAAATTCACGCAAGGTGTTAAAAGTTTCGAGTGAGCGCAGTGTTTCGTCCCACGGCTTGATAAATTCGTCAAAGTCGAGTTCCGGATTTTCGTCTGCAAACAGTATTTTCGACAGCGCAGCGTAATATTTCATTCGATTTCTAAAATTTTCCGGCACTCCAAGGAATGGAAAGCTCTTAATGGAGTGATTTTGAATTATATACTGAACGGTTTCGAGCTTGCGGAGAAGTCTCACGGAACTATAGCTGCGTGCACGTGAATGCAAGTAAAAGTTAACGCGAAGTGCAACAACCCGTGAGTGATGCGAAGAGTCTTCTAAATACCCAGCTGCAAAGTCGTTGAGCAAATTAATACTTCGTAGGATTATTTGAGGGCTGTTCGCCCATATCTTAAGATTTGTTGCACTGTTTAGAAGAGATAATGAGAATTACTCGTGACGATACATGGAGAAACAATGGCAAATGCAGGTCATACTCACAGCTTTTGCACGATGACGTTGAGAAGCTAATGGAAGATATGGAATACATTAGAATTTCATTACATACATGGAATTAAAAGAAAACCAAAAAACCAACCGTCGTCTGATCGTGAATTGCAAAGTTTTCTGATAGCTTGCCGAAAACCTTGGATACTTTGTGTGAATTATCACCTATATAACTCTTTCGGAATGTTCCGAAAAAGTATACAAATGACAATTCTAGCTTTTCGCAACCGAAGTGTCCGACGTTCTTTGAAAGAGCTTGTTTTAGCATGTAATCGCATATTGCATAAAGATATGTGCAAATAATTATTACCGGCGCGTTCCATGACTGATTGACATTCATCAGCTGGAGTACCTTGCAGGACAGCTCGCCGTCAATATAATCCTGCTCTTCGCTGCTGATATAAGTCTGAACACAAAGTATAATCAATTTCATCAGTAATAGAATTATGTTGAAAAAACGCTAGAACTAGGTTTTTCGTACCTGTCTTCCGCCTACAAGCCCACCAATCATGTACACCAGCCAAGCAAACTTTGCTATGAATGTCAATTAGTCAAGTAAAATAACGAATTTATGTGACTAGGTCACGTATATCACAAGCAATTGTATTTACTTACTTTGCACAACTTCCATAGCCGAAGACGAGGAGCTATTACCAACTCCCGTTGATGCTTGCGTCATCAGATTCTGTAATACAAAACAAGTAGAATGTCATATAACATAACATGGTCATCAAGGGCCAACTCTTTATCGTTAAACCTATGTACCTGATATGTTGACGCTATAGGGTCAAATGTTTCCATTATGACAGTACTACAGTCGTCGTATTTATAGCGCGCAATAGTCGCCAAAAGTTCAAATTCCGTTAACTGTGCGTCTTCGTTGTCCAGAAGGTCTTAAAAAATAACGTTACAATTATAAACAGTTTATACATTGCGCACGATTGTAAAAAAAAATAAAATTTAATGCATACCATCAATAGCCCCGTCTACATTTACAGAATCTATACGCGATGCTACATATGCCCGCATCAACTAGAGACGAGTATCAAAAAAAATTCATTCATACGCAAATGCTTAAATCGAAAACACTTTGTCGAAACTACACCTGAGGAGCAATGCGCTCAAGCCGGCTCGTGGTAGAGTTTGACACCCCCGTTGATGACAGCATTTTACTCCAAAAAGTGAGCAAGTACTGCACGCTGTTTGGTGCCCACTAGGGTGTGATGCGACGAAATATTACTTAGTGATTTGTGATAGCAACATCAGCGCCACTTTTTGGCGAGCTGCAATTACCTGCCATGCTTGAAACCCTTTTACTGAAAAATTAGCCACCAAGTCTAACCATTCTCCATAGCCGGGTTTCTCCGTAATTTCATTACATTGATGTGTTGATCTAAATCTGGAAAGAAGCCTGCAGAACTCGTGGTAATTGTTTACGTTTTCCAATCCAATAGATGTCAGGAGGATCTCACTAGTTCCTTGCATTAACGTAAACAAAAATTTCGAGCGTTCATCCTCATTGAATAGAGACCGTCGAATAGACGAGACTTGTACTAGAACTTCCATAACCTGTGAGTAAATGAAATCAATAACAATATATTGAATGTAAATAATTGCATAGTTATAGTTATAGATTATCTATAAACAACGCACTTGACTGGACTGGGGTGGTTGGAATTGTTTGTAGCAATCAAACAGAGTCTGAAGGAAAGTTGGTTCTTCGACAGTCTGTCGCCATGACATGGGAACCTACAAAAAGCAACAAAGCCGTAAAAATGATAGTACTATCCAGATGTCAAGATGACTCTATAACTCACTTGAATGCTTCCAATATCTTCTCCAGATTCATCAGGAATAGTGCCAATGAAATCAAATGCCAGACAATTACGAAGTAACGTCAGACATGCTTCTTTTATTCTCGAATCTTGATTGGCTATATGCATAGATGTATATCAAATTAACAATCCATGGAAATTGACTTAAATATGACCTTCATGCATCAAGTCATCTCCATACACTTCGTGTAAGGCACTTCTCTATGAAGAATCTGACGCAAATTAGCCATTCCTAGCTGGAATATCTTCAAAAGCTGCTGATCCCTAAAACTGACAGCTATACAGAATGGATGTGTTAGCTAATAAAACAACTAGCCCTACTCATGCTGTGACTACAAACGACAAACCTGTTTTCCGTAATTTATTTATATTTCGTCCTGCTATTGATGCTTGATTTATATCCGACACAACAATACTCAATATTTGTAGCCCAACAATCTTGTGATCGACAGTTGCCTGACACGATGAATGACCGAATGTAGCTTTGAATTGTAAGGTATCAAGTGCTTGCGATTAACGTAGATAAGAAATTACCTGCAAAAAATTAGATAGATCGTTTGTGACGAGCCGGAACTCATCTCCCTCAGACCATCCGGCTCTGGTGATTGCTGCAAACAGTTGAGCCAGCGATGAAATAACAAATGGCTGGTGATCAGGATTCTGATACAAATAAGTCAACACAAAGTTTCCTTTTCATCCCAAACGGTAATTCGTTAAAATGATCAAATTAGAAAACAGATTATATAGTGAATAGAGAATAAATATATTAATAAGTATTAAATAGATGGAAACAGCATCCAATTAAGATAAGCAAACCGTACTCAGATCTAATTTCTGCTGAATTGTGAACATTGAGAAGTGATCCATCACTAAAGCCTTTAGCCTTCCTGATGCAAACATCTGGGCATATGGCGACGCGGAATTCTTTAGCAGCCATTGGCAATAAGCAGATGACTCTGCCGGCGTGTGAATATGAACACCAAGTGGATTTGCAAGTATCGGCGACGTGTCGCCGTTACTTGCACTAGCACTAGATGAGTCAGAGAATGTGGGAAAGGCATAATCTAATAATTTCTCTGCATTCTCCCGCTCTTCTTGAGATTTTGGATTGTACACCTCTGTCCGTCGGGGCGAAAATCGTTAGAATTTAATGGTTGTGTACATACGTCTAAAATACAAACACGCTTCGACTATGTAACCTTGACAAAGTGTCTCCAGATAATGTAAGTTTTGGTCTAGTGAAGCGTTCATGAATCCGGTTATGTACAACTATATACGAATGGTAAAAATACCAAAAAATCGATGTACACTTAATTTCAACAGATTATTATTATATAGTTGGTCGTTGTGTCACAAATCAAGAATTTTTGTCCGCAGGATGACGACACAATCTCAGAAAATTATAAATATGGGAAATACCAGCACTGTTTCTTCAATTTGAAGGGGTCACCACTTTGTAACTTTCAGCACAATAACAAGAGTTAAAATACGCACAGCGGTTTTGTCTACAGCCAATAGGTCATGTATGATCAGGTGATATGCGTAACAGTCGGTTTGTTCGTCGTTTCTTTATTTGGCCATTTGGCATTGTCGATCGTGATAAGATTATTATGCAACCAGTTACACAGATAGGTATTGTCGATCGCAACTATTATTAGTATTAGAATACCCGTTTGTGACCGCTGCTAGTGTTACATTAATAGTAATAGTGTTCCGAATTTAAACTTATTTTCAACCAGTCTCAAATAAAGTGTATTTGATCGAAATGTTGCTGCGGCACTGTCGGAGGAACGCAGAAATAAAGGAGAGAATACGTCACTGATTTGCGTAGAATCACAATATCTAAATTTGTAAATCAGCAAATTCAATGCGAAACAATATATTAATAATATGTTTAGAATCAATTTGGGCAAGTTTTTATATAGAAGGTGGAAACAATGGTGTTACGGTTGGATGATCTGGGTTTAGGAGAGCGATTAATCTTTCGCGTAGGGGTGTTCTTTTAATACGCAATTAAGACTGAATTATATAATTAAATTAAATGCGCGCTTCTCAACTCCAACTCCCTTCCGAGCTTCAAATCACTTGTGATTCCAAATAAGGTATCCAAATAAAAACACTTATTCTACTGCGGAATCGAAGGGGAATAATATTAAACAGGGCTATCTTCGATTTGGTGTTTCGACTAGTCGGGTTCGTCACTTGTCTCAAACTAATTAAACAATTTTCGTTTCAATAAATAATTATTGACTCTCGTTCCTCAATTAAGAGCAATAGCCGTTTACAGCTTGAGTGAGCCGTTTATTAGTGTGTCCGGTCAAATAATTAATGAAAGAAAGTAAAGTTTTGATTTCAAAGGGAATCATTTATTTGATTATTATTCCATGGAGTGTTCTAATAACATGAACAATATTTTATAACATAAACAACATTAATATTAACAACATTAACAGCATGAGAATTCGACAATGGGATAAGGGTCGCTTATATGCCTCAAAAATCGAAACAGAGTCAAAACTAGTTAACAATCGTAATTTCTATGAAGAACCAATCATAGTCTGATTTAGCTAATTGCGTTTGTGCTGACATGCAAAAATCGAAACATTTTCTGCGCCTGACACTCAAAATTCGACACGGTGCCTAAATGCGACGCCGTACTACCATTCTAAAATTAACGTCGGGGATTTTGCTTGACTGCGGAGGAAGATTTTACCATGTAACTCACTTATTATTATCTGATTCATCAGGTCGGCTTGCCGTAACAATAGTTTCACTTGACAACATAACTAATACTAAGTGGGGCTGGTTCATTTTCCTGACAATCACTTCCCTGATAATCACTTCCCTGACAATTATTCCCAACAATTTATTTCCCAACAATTGTTTCCCAAAAAATATTTTGACACCAATCTGTTAATGTTTGTCAAAACACCCAAATTTGTCTACCAGATTTATTTTTACTAAATCAATATTGACAAAATAACTTCAAAACAATTGTTGGAAATAATTGATTGTCAGGAAAATGAAGTTATTGTTGGGGAAATGAATGGCTCCCAAACTAAGTAATATCTTTATTAAACTTGAGACCTACTCTTATAGAAAATTCACTTGTGCCTTAAAGCAAAGAAGCTTTTCATTTTTCATTTAGATGCCACATTTTGTCAATATAAGGTTTGCCAATCCAGCAAATGATCTGCATATGCAACAGAAGTATCTTCTAATCTGGTGATAATGAATAAACTTTGAATATGACAAGCCAACTACAGTATCTTCTCCTTCTGGATAGAAAAAAGATAACATAATTTAATATTAAATTACTCCCTTCTGCCTCAGGCATTACATATATAACTTAAAAAAGACTGTCTTCCCTCTACTCTTGCTCCTCTTTATATTGTTACGGTAGCTGATCTGATAGTAAGTCACATAGTAAAATCTTCCTCCGCAGTCATGCAGATCTCATTATTGACAATTAATTTTAGAATAGTGGTACGCGATACCTGCTGTTACATATTTGAGCATCAGTACCAGCGCCATTAGTGGGCATTTCCATAGAGTATTGTTCGCCCGGGCGCTCGCACACTACACTATCGGTTCCATTATCGATTTCTGGCTCGTTTCTTTTCGTCCGTTTTTGCTTGCACGTTTTCAGAGCAATTTCGCATGGAGACATTTTGCCTTCATCAAAGCTTTCTACATCAGACGCCATATCATTCTTGTGTGTTTCGTGTTAGAAAGTAAAATTACTACACAGAAACATAAATATAATACTGAATTTTCTTAATAACTAGAAATTACGAAAAAACTTACATTATTATTTTCTACATTATCTTTGTTGTAATCATCTTCTTCTTCAGATAAGGCTAATTCATAAGAATCGTCTACTTTTCTTCCAGTTCTCGTTCGACGTTGATTTTGTTGGGATTGATATATTTGGTGTTCGGGAGTTCGTGGTGGTTCATTATTTACTTTTTCGATTTGGAGATGCTGTTTATTTATAGTGGAAATAACTTCATCGGAACTGGAAAACCTTGCTTCATTAAGAATTTTGACGCCTTCTATTACATAATTTTTCCCCGCATTTCTCTATTTTTGGCAGGGTTAAATAGAGATGGAACATAATTAGTATCAATAAAGATTATTTTTTGACAATAGTTCTGTGTTAAAAAATACTAATGTTATAATGCCACAAACTATACTAACCTTTTCACGTTCAAGGATAATATCTTGAAAAAATGATTTCATTTTCCGACGTTTATTATCTTTATCCTGCTAACGAATCGCAATGAGAGAGCACCGAAAACTTCAGCAAAACCTCTGGATCGTACTATATCTTAAAATATAACTACAACCCAGAAGCGCATTATCTCATCACTTGGGCACCGAAAACTTCAGTAAAACCTCTGGATCGTACTATATCATGGGATATAACTACAACCCAGAAGCGCCCTTACACCTGATGTTGTTGAGGTTTTTTTTTTTGATTTATAAAATTTATACCTTGGCATGATAAATATACCTGTTATACCATGTACCATCTAAACCGCCCCAGTCTTCAGTATATGGTGGTGAATTGATAATTATTTCTTTTAATTCATTTAAAAAATGTTCATAATTCCATGTTTTTCTATCGTGAGTTTCAAAATATTCTAAAACAGCTAGTAAACCCAATAAAGAGAATCAGTTTATACTGAGAACAAGTCTGCAAAATTCGAATGCTTAACGAGCTTACCGTTGTTTCCAATATATGATTCAGTCATTGTTTTTAGGTACGTTCTGAAGAAAAAAAAATTTTTAGCATGCATCACGAGAATTTATTCAGTGATATAGCATGATCGAACATCTGTGCTACGCAATCGATTTTTCATTCCATGTCCTTCTAATTTATTCCGTGTGGTAATACAAATGTTCGATCGACATTTATCACGGGTTTTTACCCATCAATCATACCCGACTTTGTAATAGTTGGCAAAATAAAAAGTGATCGGCGTTCCGAAAAAGAATGCGTTATGGTTTTTTTTATTCACTAATATAATTAAACATATTTGTATTTTATATAAAAATGGCAAATACGCAATCCAAAATTAAATT